CTTAGTACACTATTGATGAACAACACATTCTGAAGTGACAGAGCATGGGGAAATCAAGGTGCTACTGACATGAAAACTTCAGACATAATGGTTCCTTTTCACAATGCTAGAAGGTATTGTGCACACTTCCATAGGATAAATATAAATATTCATAATAGTCATCTATGGATCTTGTGAGCTACAATGATGAATGGCATGGAAACATATGCTTACTGCTGCAATATTGTTAAAACCAATCATTGAAAGTAACCAATAATTTTCTTGTTGAGTCTTTGGACCTTTCCTGAACATCATATTTGTTTCTAGTATTAATATCAAGCTGATAGCCTAATGTTAGACAGGTCATGGTCTCTGGAGGAGAACCTACTACTATACTGTGGGTGATATTCCAAGTGTAACAACATTAAAGAAAGCTGGTCTTTCCTCCTACCAGGTACAATATCAAACAGCTTCTTTGTTAACAGTGTAACGTTAAGTCCCCCTTTCCTTCTCCATGTTGATTTTTGTTTGTCTTAAACATGTGCAAGTCTTTTTCATACTGTTACCCTCTCTATGCTGTATATGTCATCATAAAGGTCTTGGAGAGATCAGGAATAACAGGAACATACCTAAACATAATAAGAGCAATCTATAGCAAACCAACTGCCAACATCAAACTGAATGGAGAGAAGCTTAAGCCAATTCCTCTAAAATCAGGAACAAGACAAGGCTGCCCTCTCTCTCCATATCTCTTCAATATCGTACTAGAAGTTCTAGCTAATGCTATAAGACAACAAAAGGAGATCAAGAGGATCCAAATTGGAAAGGAAGAAGTCAAACTATCTCTATTTGCAGATGATATGATAGTTTACATAAGCGACCCAATAAACTCTACCAGGGAACTCCTACAGCTGATAAGTACCTTCAGCAAACTAGCAGGATACAAGATAACCTCAAAAAAATCAGTATCCCTACTTTTTTCAGACGACAAAGAGACAGAGAAAGAAATCAGAGAAACAACACCCTTTACAATAGCCAGCAACATAAAATATCTTGGTGTAACGCTTACCAAACAAGTAAAAGACCTATATAATAAGAACTTTGTGGCTCTAAAGAAAGAAATTAAAGAAGATACCAGAAAATGGAAAGATCGCCCATGCTCTTGGATAGGTAGGAAAAACATAGTAAAAAATGGCAATCTTGTCAAAAGCAATCTACAGATTCAATTCAATCCCCATTAAAATCCCACAATTCTTCACTGACCTTGAAAGGATAATAATCAACTATATATGGAAAAACAAAAGACTCAGGCTAGCCAAAACAACCCTATACAATTAAAGAACTTCAGGAGACATCACCATTCCTGACTTTAAGCTCTAACACAGAGCTGTAGTTCTGAAAACAGCCTGGTATTGTCATAAAAATAGACAGGTAGACCAATGGAATCGAATTGAAAATCCTGATATTAACCCACGCACCTATGAACACCTGATTTTCAACAAAACAGCTAAAATTATACAATGGGGTGAGGACAGCATCTTCAACAAATGGTGCTGGCACAATTGGATGAGGGTGTGTAGAAGACTGCAGATAGACCCATGTCTGTTGCCATGCACAAAACTCAAATCCAAATGGATCAAAGACCTCAACATCAATCCAGCCACATTGAACCTCTTAGAAGAGAAAGTAGGAGGTACCCTTGAACAAATTGGTATAGGAAACTGCTTCCTGAACATAACTCCAGCAGCACAGACACTGAGAGCAACAATTAATAAATGGGACCTCTTCAAACTTAGAGGCTTCTGTAAGGCAAAGCACACAGTGGACAAGACCAAATGGCAGTCCACAGACTGGGAAAAGATTTTCACCAATCCTATATCTGACAAAGGGCTGATCTCCAAAATATACAAAGAACTCAAGAAACTAGTCAACACAACACCAAATAGCCCTATTAAAAAATGGGGTACAGAACTGAAGAAAGAATTCTCAATAGAGGAAATCAAAAAGGCTGAAAGACACTTAAGAAAATGCTCCACATCCTTAGCTATCAGGGTAATGCAAATCAAAACAACTTTGAGATACCATCTTACTCCTGCCAGAATGGCTAAAATTAGAAACACCAGTGATGACTCATGTTGGAGAGGATGTGGAGAAATGGGAATACTCCTTTTCTGCTGGTGGGAGTGCAAACTCATACAGCCATTTTTGAGATCAGTATGGTGGTTTCTCAGGAAAATGGAAATTAGTTTACCACAGGACCTGGCAATCCTCATCTTAGGCATATACCCAAAGGATCCACATCCATGCAGCAAAGACATCTGTTCAACTATGTTCATAGCAGCATTATTTGTAATAGCAAGAATCTGGAAGCAACCTAGATGCCCCTCAATTGAAGAATGGTCAATGAAGATGTGGCACATCTACACAATGGAATACTACTCTGCAGAAAAAAATAATGGTATCTTGAAATTCTCAGGCAAGTGGACAGCACTTGAAGAAACCATCCTGAATGAGGTAACCCAGTCACAAAAAGAGGAACACAGTATGTACTCACTCATATATGGATTTTAGACCTAGATCAAAGGATCACCAACCTATAATTCACACCACCAGAGGAACTAGGATACAAGGTGTAGTCTAAGAGATTCATATAAAGTCCCTCACAGAACTGAGAAGTGACAAGTCCCACAGAGCTCAGGTGAAGTGGGGGGGCAGCGAATGGATAGAGAAGTAGGAGAAAACGAGGGGGAGGAAAGGAAAACATTGGCGACCAGGAAGATTGAGCCTGGTTAGGAATAGAAGACAGGAAAGAGAGAGAGAGAGAGAGAGAGAGAGAGAGAGAGAGACAGAGAGAGAGAACATAAAAGAGGGAGCCAATATTGGTTTGAAGATAAAATTGAACACAAAGAAAGGTCTAGAGGACTACATGCCTGCTGCCAACTAACAATCTGAGCTTCAGTGGAAAGGCTACCATAAATGCCCTTCCTGGAGAGTGAAATCAACAACTAACCTCTCCATGGAGCCCTCAACTAATGCCTGTTGGAAACAGGAGCAAACACCCATACCTGAACACTGAGTTGAAGTAGAACTCAGATGCCATGGAGAGGACAAGACCAGGTGGCAGAAACACATAGAGACAGCTTACCTGATCAAGGAGGAGCCAATGGGCCACCAGACTGATAGCTGGGAAGTCAGCATGGGACTGACTCAGGGCCCCCTGAATATGGATCTCATCCAGAAGGACTGAGCAGTCTAAGGGACCTCAGACAGTGGAGCCAGGATGTATCCCTGGTGCACAAAAGGACTTTGTGAACACATCCCTCATGGAGGGATAACTGCCTTAATCTAGAGACAGAAGAGAAAGAGAAGCCCTAGTCCCTACTTCACATGACCTGTCAGATCTACATGACCCCAACTGGATGGCATTCCCCTACATATGGAATTGGGGTGGAGGGATGGGAGGGGAGGGTGGTTAGGGTGCATGTGAGAGGGCAGAGAGAGTAAAAGGGAGGGAAGGAGGAAGAGAGGAAGTGAGGGAGGGAGGGAGGGAGAGGGAACTGGGATCGACATGTAAAATAATAAATTAAATTAAAAAAATGCTTTGACTCCAAAATTTAAGTTCAAGTACAAGTTACTGGGGAAAAGGATTTCTATTTTTGTTTCCACAGAAAATGAAAAGCTGTGGATTCCTTCCATAATGTGGTTTGATCAAGCCAGACCACCTGAAACAGAGTACCAGGTGATCCTACATTCAAAACAGCTGGACAAAGCAGCCTTACAGACTACAGCCAGGATTTCTGAATCTTCTTCGAATCCCCCATGACAGCGCCCCTTACCAGCAGGAAGTAGTTTGGAAAGAACGACACCCAAATTCCCAAATATTGTCTGTAAATGTTTGTTTTCATTTAAATGGACTTGGTTATATAAAATAAATAAATAAAATTTAAAAAAAGAAAGTGATATCTGTTGCAAAAGTGAAAAGTTGTCTTTGTTAGTTTAGCACTCTGCATATTAACCACATTCCAGGTCAGACCAAATGCCCAAGAGTAGCAGATCAACAGAAAACTAACTAAAAGATTTTGTGCACTTTTTAATTAAAAGAATTTTTTTTGTGTGTTTTCTAGTTGTTCATTTTGGATTTATAATTTTTTGTTTTTGTATTTTCATGACACAGAGATAGAAAAATAATGAAGGTGGGTTAGTAAGGAGGTGTGAAGAATCTGGGAGGGATTAGATGGGGGAAATATTCAAACACAAGCTATTATATGAAAAATTAAATTAGAATATAAAGACGTTGCATTGACCTTTGGTACACACATTGTTCATTTTGCAAAGTGAAAGGTGGAGGCATCCAAATAACTACAAGTCCATGGGCTGTCTCCTGGATTACACAGCAGAAGAAACAAAGAGGTCTCTATTTAAAAAGGTGGAAGATCGAACAACAAGTATTGTTGCTATTTATCTAGCCTGATGGGAGATGTCATTCTGTAAATATGTTTCTCATACTGGTTAATGAATAAAACACTGTTGGCCAAACACTAGCCCACAGAAACATATTTGCCCATGTATTATATACAAACAACAGTCATACATTCACAAAGATAAAATGATATTATTACAGAAATGTAGGTTATTTTTTTATAAAGGTAGAATGAGCTGGATAATCGTATTTAATCAAGACAATGTCTTAGTAAATTCATGGTTTAATAAAAAACCATTTGCTTTTCGTGGTTGTATAGGACATTAGGAGATTTAAGAAACCCTTCCTGACTTGTGGAGATAATTTCACACAACTGTAAGGCAAACCAAGCCCTTTTGAAGATCCTGACAGTGAGAGATCCACATTCAGGATTTTAACTCATTGTAATGACAGAAAACTGAACTCTAATTCCAGCCATTCATGGGAATATGTTATTAATCCATGGGGTTTGTGACATACAATCTGTCAAAGTCATAACCTTAAGTTTGCAAATATGTGTAGTAATTGTTTTTCTCCTAAAATTGTTCTATCTTATATGCAGGCTTAAACTGAGGAACTACCAATGTATTTTGGCCATGCTGTTTGCTATTGAGGAGATCAACAGCAATCCTCATCTTTTACCCAACACATCTCTGGGATTTGAAATATATAATATTCCCTTTGGTGAAAGATTCACTCTGGAAAATCTCTTACCTTGGCTCACAGGCAATATACTTTACATCCCTAATTACACTTGTGCAAAGAAGAAAAAGTCAGTTGCTGTGCTTACAGGAATGTCATGGACAATATCTGAATGCTTTGGAACACTGCTGGATATCTACAAATTCCCACAGGTGAGGGAGTGTGGTGTTAAAGAGTGTAAATGCAGCTCATCATTTATGACATTTCAAGAGGCTGGAAAAGAAAATGAAGGAGATTCAAATCACTCATTACTGAATACTTGGTAATAGATCTACATTATTGCAGTGTCAAATACAGGGAAGGGGAAAGCAAGAATAGGCAGAACACTGTTGAACCTCTCAGTGTAGTCAAAAATGTCAAAAATGATTACAAATCTCTGACTTCAAAATAAGGATGAAACAGATCTTTGTCTTAACAGGCTCTGTTTTTTTTTCAGGTTGAATTGAATGCTATGACAATGCTGTTCTTTCTGATTGTGTTTCCCTTCCAGCTTACTTTTGGGCCATTTGATAGTATCTTGAATGACCAAGGCCGGTTTCCTTCTCTGTACCAAGTGGCCAACATGGACACATCTCTGTCACTGGGCATAGTTTCTTTGATGGTTTATTTCCAGTGGACCTGGGTGGGACTCCTCATTGCAGATGACCACAAAGCTACTCAAATTCTATCTGACTTAAGAAAGGATATGAATGAAAATGGAATATGTATAGCATTTGTGGAAATGGTTCTCATCAGCAGGGGCTCATTTCTGACAAAATCCTGGAAAAATCAGATGCAGATTCTGGAATCATCAGCAAATGTGATTATCATTTATGGAGACACTGATTCTTTATTGAGCTTAATAGTGAATATAAATAGGGCAATACTTATGTGGAAAGTCTGGGTCCTAAACTCAAAATGGGATATTTCCACATTTGATAAATATTTCCTCTTAGATGTATTGCATGGAACTTTAATTTTTTCCCACCATCGTGAGGAGATTGTAAATTTTACATCTTTTATTCAAACAGCCAACCCTTCCAAATTCCCAGAAGATGTTTATCTTCATATATTGTGGCACATGTTCTTTAACTGCTCATTTTCAAGGAAGTATTGTAAAATTTTGGATTACTGCTATCCCAATGCTTCTTTGGTATTCTTACCTGGAAATATATTTGACATAGCCATGAGTGAAGAAAGTTACAATGTTTACAATGCTGTGTATGCTGTGGCCCACAGTCTGCATGAAATGACTCTCAATCAATTACAAATTCAACATCATGGAAAAGGGAAAGAGATGGTATTCTTGCCCTGGCAGGTAATGAAACACACGTAGTATTATGATATCAACAATGTGACACTCTTAAGCTTTATAAATACATTAAAATTAGCAATAATTTAGAATATTTTGTCAAGAAATTCACAACAGATAGAGTGTATGTTTTATGGCCTAGTAACCAATAGAGAATTAAAATGTTTCTGCTTGTTGAATGGGGTATTTATGTGAAGAAGAAAATCTCTTTTAAGTTATCCTAATTTAATTACAAGAACCTCACAATCTTCACATGGTAAAAGGTTTAATGTGAAAAATTCATATATCCATGGACAGTTGTCTGGTCAAAATGCTATGTGCTAAAATCATATTATTACATGTACAGTGATTATGGTCAATAAATTATCACTTATAATTACTCTAAATAATGATCATGATTTTAAAACATAATTATGATTTAAATAATTTTAAATAAACAAAAATTAATAACTATAATTTAAGAACAAACACACATTCATTTCATACAGGAAAACTCTAGTGTATTGAAATTTTTCTTGGATGTATTTATCTTTTCCAAGAAGTTCAGTTTTGTCTTAGTGCAAATTTATTATTAAGGAGTGCTTGATTATAAGTTTTCTCGATAAAATGAGTAATATTTTAGAAAAATAATGATGCTTCCATTCACGTACTCTTACATTTGCTGACCATCATTGCTACCTGTGTGAAAATTGCTTTTAGTATCATGGATGAAAATCAGTGGAAGATAATAAAAAAAAAAGAAAAGAAAATCAGTGGAAGACTATTCCTAAATCTGGCTTTGTTGTACTTCTCTAGGGCCTATTTATCATAGAGTCATGCATTTCTTTTAGCTTCACCCCTTTCTGAAGAACACAGAATTGACCAATCCTGTTGGAGACCATGTGGTTCTCAACTGGAAAAGGAAACCAGATGCAGAATATGACATTTTAAACTTTTGGAATTTTCCAAAAGGTCTTGCACTATATGTGAAAGTAGGGACATTTTTTCCAAAGGCTCCACAATTTTCTTTATCTGATCACATGATACAATGGGCTTCAGGATTTACAGAGGTGGGTTTCATCTCATTCTAATGTTTTCACCTGTATGGGAATAACAGAATTATGTTTCTGAGTGCCATGACCTTCATTGCTCTTTTGGGACCTATCTATATATACAAAATGAAAATCAATAGAAAGGACTTTCTTCCTGTCTGATTCTTATTAGACCTATTTGTTTTCAAATATGTCCATTTATTTCATACTATAAATATAATATCTATTTCAGTATGCTGTCCTGGATAAATTTATGTCAACTTGATACAATCTAGAGTCAGTTAGGAAAATGTAACCTCAACTGAGCGAATACTTTCACTAGGTTTGACTATGAGAAGGCCTGTGGTGTTTTTGTGTGATTGATTAGGATGAGAGGGTCTAAAACATTGTTGGTGATGACACCACTGGGTTGGTAGTTGTTGAATTAAAGAGCTCAAGTGAGCAAGTCATTTGTTCTCTTCATCAACTCCTGCACCAAGATTCCTACCTTGAGGTCCTGCCCTGATTTCTCTGGATGATGGGATGTAAACTGTAAGATGAATAAAAACTTAACTTTTCACATTCATTTTTCTCAAATTTTAACAGAGAAATAGGAAACCTAATGAAGACAGTATGCTTTCAACTATTGTACAAATCACATGACAGAAGGATTATTGATTTGGATTCCTGCTTAGAAAATTTGGGTCCATGGTCAGTTGTCCTTTTACTTGAGAGCCTCTACAAGGCAGAATTACTTTATGGAATTTTATAGAGGTGTTAATTATTTGTTTTGCAGCAGCAAAAATATTACCTAACATAGCAGCGTAGACAATTTTTTCATGTCTGAGTTGGAGGGAATATTCAATTACTGTTGTAAGACATGGTCAGGAAGCAGAGATAATGAATGCTCCTGTTCATATTATTTCTCCCCTTTTCTTCCTTCTGGGACCATGGCCAATAAATTGGTGTCATCCATTTTTAGGGAGGGCCTTCATATATCATGTAACATAATCTAGAAAGTTCTTTCGCTCAAATATTTCTTTTCCACAGTGATTGTGAACCTTGTCAAGTTGACAAGGTTAATGATCTCCATGAAAGAAAAGCCTGTTTTCCTTAGTAGCCAAAGCCAAGAAGCAGGGTGGATTCTAAGTCTAGTAAAGCCCTTCTAGAACACACTAGCAAGAACCTAAATTTCTACTTCATTCCTTAACCTCATAATATTTCCACAATATTTCCCAACACCATTTCTGAGGGTCAAGCATTGACCACATGGACCTATGTATTATGTACTCTTATGGCAAAAGTATAATTATATTTATTTCTAGATATTAAAATTAGAAAAGTAATTATTTCATATTTATAAACACTATATCTATTGGAGACTAATTTCATTATTCTCAGATTCCTCAGTCTGTGTGCAGTGAGACCTGTCATCCTGGATTCAGGAAAACCATCATTGAAGGCCATCCTGCCTGTTGTTTTGACTGCACTCCTTGTCCAGAGAATGAGATTTCCAATGAGACAGGTGGGTACCTACAGAAAATCAGTCTTCCCACACCAGAGTAGAATACTTAATTGCACAATGGACTTGAACACATGCAACTCTTGGTAACAAATACTCATGATTTTTTCTTCCATCTCTTTATGTTCACAACAAACAATATATTATATAATAAAATCAAGGTCATGCGATTTCCTTAAGGGGTGAAAAAGACTAGAGAATCCACATTTGAAACAGAGTAATAGAATTTATAGAAGTTGTGCTCAGAAGACAAATATAAGAATGAGTATTTACATAATTTTTGTGATAATTTTTTATTTAAATTTGAAATAAGCTAGTTTTACATGTCAATTTCAGTTCCCACACTTTCCTGTCCTCCCCTGTTACCCCCACCAACCCACATCTCATTCCCTTTCTGCTCCCCAGGGAGCAGACTTCCATAGAGTGGTCTTCAAAGTCTGTCATATCATTTGGAGCAGGAACTAGACCCTCCCTCATGTGTCTAGGCTGAGGGAGTATCCCTCTATGTGGAATGGGCTCCCAAAGTCCATTCATGTACTAGGGATGAATACTGATCCATTACCAGAGGCCCCATAGACTGGCCAGTCCTCCTAACTAACACCCATGTTCAGGGAATCTGGGTCAGTCCTATGTTGATTTCCCAGCTGTCAGACGAGTCTGTGAGCTCTGCCTTGTTCAGGTCAGCAGTTTCTGTGGGTTTCTCCAGCCTGGTCTTGACCCCTTTGCTCATCACTCCTCCCTATCTACAACTGGACTCCAGGAGTTTGGCTCAGTGTTTAGCTGTGGGTGTCTGCTTCTGCTTCCATCAGCTACTAGATGAAAGCTTTAGGATAGCATATAAGGTAGTCACCAATCTCATTATCAGAGAAGGGCATTTAAAGTAGCCTCTCAACTATTGCTTAGATTGTTAGTTCGGGTCATCCTTGTAGATCTCTGAATATTTCCCTAGTGCCAAATTTCTCTTTAAACCTATAATGCCTCTCTTTTCTTGCTCTCCTTTATTCTTTAATGATGTGAAATCTATAGTGTTATCATGTATGAAATTGTATGATTAATCTTATCTACAGGATATATATATATATATATATATATATATATATATATATAATCTTCCAAACATCAATGAATGTTAAACAGTTTTTAACATTAATATTCACAGACCAAGAGTCTAGAAACCTGATTAATATAATTTTTTCTGCAAAATATATACATTTAATAACAATGTTTTTTACTACTAATTTAATGTTCAAAACATGGCACATAAGGAGTTTATTGAAAACAAGTGTAATGAATAAGCCAGGTATGGCTTCAAGTACCTATAGTCACAGTAACTCTGAGCACTTAAGTGAGAGGATCATCATTTTAAGGGTAGTATGAGAAAAATAGAGAAACACTGTGTCAAAATAATTTCAGGGAACAAAAAGGACAATAAATCCAGAACCTGTGAGTGGTAATAAAAATATATAGTGGAATAAAAATATAGAGGTAGAAATAATTCACTATCATTGGCATGCTTATGAGTAATAATAATGTTTTATTCTCAAAATATTTTACATTACAAAAGTATCACCCTGAAAACATTTGTGTTTGCATAATTTCTTTTTATAACTTCTAAAGCCTTGTTTTAATAATTAGCAACCACTCACTACATATGTAATGTGGTTGAGACCTTGTTAGGAAATACATTCAGAGTGATAAGATACACCTCATCATTATCTTGGATACATATGACTTATATCACTCCAGGTGTGTGTAAGGTCCATATGTTTGTTCTGTGTGCTCAAAGGAAGTGCACTCCACTCACCACAACCAAAGAATACATGGATGCAAGTTAAGAATCGGACATTATAGTAATGTGTAGGTAAAAGTAGGGGCTAAAACACAAATGTTAGACTCACTAAAAATGAGTAGGTTACTCATAAAAGCTTATAAAATGTGCCCTCTATCCTTAAAGAGAAATGTGTAATTTTCACCTTTTTGAGTCAGGGTTTCTCTGTGTAGCTATGGGTGTCCTGGAACTCACTTTATAGGCCAGGCTGGCCTCCAACTCACAGAGATCCATTCACCTATGCCTCCCAGGTGCTGGAATTGAAGGTATGTACCATTGGCACTTGGCTGGGAAATGTGTAATCTTATATGAAGTGAATTTCATAAATTATTATTTTTATTGTTTTTTTTATAATTTTACATGTCGATCCCAGTTCCCTTTTCCTCCCTCCCTTCCTCTTCCTCTCTCTCCCCCCTCACATGCACCCTGACCACCCTCCCCTCCCATTCCACCACCCCAATTCCACATGTAGGGCAATGCCATCCTGGTAGGTTCATGTAAATCTGTCAAGTCATTTGAAATAGGGACTAGGACTTCTCTCCTGTCTCTAGGTTAAGGCAGTATCCCTCCATGGGGGATGTGTCTGCAAGGTCCTTTTGTGGAACAGGAATACATCCTGGTTCCACTGTCTGAGGTCCCTTAGACTGCTCAGTCCTTCTAGTGGAGACCCATATTCAGGGTGTCAGAGTCATGCTAGATTCCCAGCTATCAGTCTGGGGGCCTGTTAGCTCCTCCTTGTTCAGGTTAGCTGTCTCTATGTGTTTCTGCAACCTGGTCTTGTCCTCTCTCTCTGCATCTGGATTCTAGTTTGACTCAGTGTTTAGTTATGGGTGTTTGCTTCTGTTTCCAACAGGTAGTAGATGAGAGCCAGTTGTGGTGGCACACATCGGTAGGATTTGCTAAAGGAGGCAGAGGCAGTAGGATCACAAATTTCATAAATTCTATAGCAATGCCTTTAATAAATAAAACATGGAGCTGTACATATTATGTATTCATCATAAGCTAAGATAGGAGCAGCTACGTGAATATACTGAAGAGAGGAGAGAGAGAGTAACAACAGATTGAGATATGAAAGTACAGTAGGAAATACAACTTCATAAAATGTGGGTAGGCAGAAGAGGTTAAAAACAGAAAAAAATAGACGATGTTTACATAGAAAAAGCTGACTCTTCTTAAAAATATCAATTTTTATTGTGTTGAAAATATTTATCAATGAAAATAAAATAAAAAGTTTTTTGAAAAAGTACACATCACAGAATTACTGACATTATCAACATTAATATATGGCATAAGTAAATCCAAATATATGCATCATAATTTAAGATTAATTTGAGAAGCTATCAGAGTACTTAAATCCTCCTCTATGTGAACAATTCTTCATATAAATGAATTACATACTACTGCACAAAAGCTATGAAAATAGTTTCACTGGTGTATTTTCATTCTTCTAAAAATTAAAAACAATAATTTACTCAGTCTCCTTCAAAAATGAACAAAACATGAATTTCTGTGTAAGCCATGTAACGTAATTCAATACTCTAATGACTTCAAAAATATTATCACTATAAGTAGGAAAACCATATGAGTAACAGTAGAGAAGGAAGCATTAGGGCTGATTAATTTGTGGTACCATACAATAGAAGGTATATATGAGATTAGTGTTATTCTATAGAAAATGCAACTATATTTATGTATAAAACAAAAGTAATTGTTTAAATAAACACTACAATTAGCTGATGTTGCAAAGTGGTTTAGTATAAAAGGAAACTTTGAGGATGCTCTCATAATCATTTTTTTCTTACAGATGTAGATCACTGTGTGAAGTGTCCAGAAAGTCACTATGCAAACACAGAGAAGAACCATTGCCTAGAGAAAACTGTAATATTTCTAGCCTATGAAGACTCCTTGGGGAAGGCACTCACCTTCATGTCTCTTGGCTTTTCCTCACTCACTACTGTGGTTCTTGGGATATTTCTGAGGAACAGAGACACTCCCATTGTGAAAGCCAATAACCAGTCACTCAGTTACATCCTGCTCATTACTCTCATCTTCTGTTTCCTCTGTCCCTTGCTCTTCATTGGCCATCCCAACACAACCACCTGTATCCTGCAGCAGAACACATTTGGACTTTTGATCACTGTGGCTCTTTCTACTGTGTTGGCCAAAACTATTACTGTAGTCATGGCCTTCAGAGTAACTGCTCTGGGAGGTATCATGAGGTGGTTAGTAATATCAAAGACTTCTAACAAAATCATTCCCCTTTGCACCACGATCCAAATTTTTATCTCTGTAATATGGTTGACAATATCTCCTCCTTTTCTTGACACAGATGATCACTCTGAACATGGACACACCATCATAATGTGTAATCAAGGTTCAGCTATTGCCTTCCACTGTGTCCTAGGATATCTAGGATTCCTGGCCCTAGGGAGCTACACTATGGCTTTCTTGTCCAGGAATTTGCCTGATACATTCAATGAGGCCAAGTACTTGGCTTTCAGCATGCTGGTGTTCTGCAGTGTCTGGGTCACATTTCTTCTTGTCTACCACAGCACCAAGGGAAGGGTCATGGTAGCTATGGAAGTCTTCTCTATTTTGGCTTCCAGTGCAGGAATCCTAGGCCTTATCTTTGTCCCGAAGTGCTACATAATATTATTAAGGCCAGATATGAATTCAGTCAATCATATAAGGGGGAAAACACATCCTATGAGAAAAATTCCTCTTGAAGCTTAGCTCATATGTTTCATAAATTAAATAGAGATCTTGAATGTTGTGCACCATTTGAACAATTAGATTCAGATTACGATTTAGCATTTGATGACATGGGTTATTGTTTCTTTAGTTTTTTTTCTGTCTCTTTTTACTCCATAGCCATCAATTTTTTTTTTCATTTTAAAATGTTGTATTTCTGTGTCCTTCTTTTATAAATACTATTGCTTTTCTGTAACAACTAATTTGGTTATTAAAGGCAAATTTGTAACTATATCCACCTGGATTTTTCACATATTTTCCTAATTTGATTCTAATAATTATTCAATTAACCTATCAATCAGTGGTGACAAACAGGTTCCAGGGTCATATATGTCCTCTTTAATGTTTACAAAAGCATGCTATGCCTTTGTCTTCAAATATATTATATGTGTGCCAAAATTCATTTCTGATTTAAGATATTTCATTAATTTATAATGCTCGAATTTGGTTTATGTTATTATTGTGGGTAAGTTTAAATCACTTAAATTTAATAAATTTTGATTAAGATCATCTATACCAAGTATATGAATATGATCTGCATATTAAAATACTATTAACTTGGGACTTTATTTATACTTTATTTATAATCTAGTGTCAAATGCCAGGCAAACAGATACACAATGCTACAGTTAATTAACTATAGTCAGTGTTTAAGTTCCAATGAAATACATCAAATTTGTGAATATACTCAAGACTGTTGCTAGGCTTTCAGGAAACCAAGCAGGGTGGAGCCACATGCCAGTGCAGAGGTGGAGGGCTCATCCATACTACTTAGAAGTTTAAAAAAAGATTACAGATACACAATTTAGATAGAAAAAAGCATCTAAACAGGTTACAGTGTGTTTTAAAATGTACAAAGCCTTGGGAGAGAAAAAAAAGTATAAACATAAAAGGCATAAAAAGGTAATATGTAGTATTAAAACAATAAAGTCCTTAAAAAGCGAGTAAAGTAAGAGAAAATGAAAAAGCCATGAAAATAAACAGAGTCTAGATCCTGTATGTTATTGTGTTATCTTAATTGTTTGGATTCTAAGAGAGACTGGACTATAAAAGCTGCTAGATTAAATCAACCTATATATTTTTTAAATAGCTTGACTTCAAATTTTAAGTCAAAATGTATGTTTCTTTGGGGGAGAAGTTATGCTTTTATTTCCACAGGAAATTAGAAGCTTTGGATTCATTCCAGGTTTAAAAAAATCAGGTTTGATCAGGGAATACCTATAGAAATTTTGGCTACAAACATGAAAATAAACCTATAAGAATTACAAGGCACCTAACATACATTTTACCTGCTTAAACATAAAACAACAACAACAAAATCATCTTTAAGTGATGTGCATATTTTGAAAACAAGGGAACCAAACATTAATGAAAATTGATGCCCCAGGGCATCCAGCATTTCAAAATGCTTCTGTTGTATTTTCCTCAAAATTTTGCAACCAAAATAGCTTGAAGGCTGCTGGCTGTGATGGTTCAACATCACAAACTACTCCAGCCAGGACTTCATCATTATCCTAATTTTCTCAAGGTCCCTCCTAAGATATCAGCATCCCTCAACCAATAGGAAGCAGTGTAGAGAATGATGCCATTTACGTGGGGTTTGTTACAAGTTGTTATTGGTAGTAGTCCGGAAAAAAAAAAAAAAAAACTAAACAAAATAGTTGAGTTCAAAGATCCCTTTATGAAGGTAAAAATAAGGATATGATATAGGTATGATAAGGAAAATGGGTAGATTACTGAATGTACTTTAATCCAAACAACAACTATTAATCTCAAAATATTTTACATCGGTATGGATTTTGATTTATTGATACAAGTTTAAAGTTAATTTTTTATGCTTTATGTATGTCTCTAATTTTATTTAGATCATTGGGTTTATACAGCTCATTTAATATGTAAAGCATAATTAAGAAATACAGGTTAGTAGACATTTATAATAGTCAAAATTAGTCATATTCAGTATATTTTTAATGTTGAAAAGATATATTTACACAGATAGATGGTTTTAAAGCTCTTAAAAGACCTACTGAATATGACATTTAAAATGTTTTAATAGCATGAGACTTTTCCTGACTGTGAGGTGTGAGACATGTCTGTTTCTGAAAGCACCAATTTGCTTTAGAAATGATGAAAAGCATCAAAGAACCTCCATATGAAGTTTTCTTTCTTTCTGGCAAAAACTATCTATGTGTGCAAAAAACAAAACAAAACAAAACAAAACAAAACAAAACTGCCCTTGAATCAATTGATGACAGTATACTGTCAAACCTGGACCACTACACATACACACACACACCTACCAAACTTTGACAAGGCAAGGTAGGACAGTCCTTCAAAATTCCATTTCTCAGCAGAGCCTGTCAGATATACTAGGCCTGTATACCAAATACAATGCTCCAACTTTAAAGAAGATCTTTGGGTGATGGTCCAGGTAGCCAGATGTCCCTGTCATTAGATAACATTTCACCCTTCTGGGATCTTTGATAGAGTTGAAGAATAGATAATCATAGTTAAAGTTTTCTTTAGTTATGGTAAAAGATAAATTAAAAATTGACTGGATATTATAACTGTAATTCTTACTTGATGACTGAAAATGCTGAGTCACATTTATTTTGTTGTGGAACTGAGGATCTCAATGAACTTCTGAATGTTCCACCATTATCTCCAGAGTTACTGGACATAGTAGATGTAATATGGGATCAAACCCAGATCCTGGTGACCATTAGGCATGTACCTATCAACTGAGTTATAACCACAGACTACTCAAATTAAAAAATAAAGCATCTTATGAGCTGCAAATAACTGTCAATAGTGGTGAACATGGTTTGTAAACAACGACCCAAGGTTTGAACCCCATTCCTGTTATTTAAACATGGTTCTTAGAGATTAGTTTAAGTTTTAAGACACTTCTCACCTGAATATAAATGGTCAGACAAACAAATTATGTAAATAAAGCCAAAAAGGCCATCAAACATCCCTCAAATTATATGTAATGAAATCTAATATAAACACTACACAAGGCACATAGCATGTTTTCCTCTATGGATGAAATTCAAACTGTCATGAAAGGTGAAGCTGCCAGAGGTAAATAGCAGCCAGCACAGAGCCATACATGCTGGTGAACCTGAATCATCCATTTGATGATTCTTGGTGTCATGGTAGAAATACAAGTCTGTGTGTGTTTGAGTTTGAAATGAGGTGTGAACATCCACTTTCTCTTGATCTTAGCCAAAAGGCCGAGAAGCGATATGAATATCCATCTTTATTCTGAACACTACAGACACATGCCTGTTACCTCAAAATGAATAAAAAAACCAGATACATATATGTCAGAATGCAGCCTTGCAGGACTTCTGATAGAGGACAGTGTGATTTCCTACATCATTTTAACACAACTGTGTCTTTCCAGAAGTATGAGCTTCACCTCTAAAGTAGGATCTTATGTAAACCTTCCCTGTCAAAGGACTATTAAATGTTAGTTACCCTGGAAATTGGTTCTGAGGAATAGGGCTCTTGATGGCATATAATTGACTTTACTGTCTTTAAAATTTTGGATCTGCCTTGAAGAAATAATATGGAAGTTGTGGAACTTGGAGCCTGTGAAAGTTCACAGTGTGGTGAGTAGAGTATCAAGAGTCCTTTTGGTGGAATCCTGAATGATCATAAAGCATAAAATGTGTTCAGTGGAATCACAGATCATGTATGGTCATAGAGGAACATGGAATCTATTGATCAATATTCTCATGCTACATATTCTACATAATTTTAAGCAAATTATTGCATGGACAATGACTTCAAATTTGTAAGTCTCTCTCTCTCTCTCTCTCTCTCTCTCTCTCTGTGTGTGTGTGTGTGTGTGTGTATGTGTGTGTGTATAAATTCCTAGATCAGAGGTAGAACTTAAATATCTTGACCAGAGGTAGAAGTGTATAGTGCAAAACGGTAAAAAATATGAAGGGGGCATGCCTAACAGCAGGTAGCTAGAACCTAAGAGATGGCTCTAACCAGGCCTCTGTGCTGGGTGCTACACAGTGGTGTGTGGGAGAGGAAGGAAAAACTATGGCACTCCAGGAAATTCATGGGGCAAAGTGATGTACAGTTCCAGACTGGGTCAAAGAAGCTGTACAACAGGTAATTAGTAAATGAGTGGCATGAAACTACAGACTCAGTAGACTTTTCCTGGAGAGTTTCAAGACAAACATGTGCCTACTCACCCTAAAATAAGAGAACTGAAGTGTGACCCAAGTATTAATGCCACTAAAGTTCAATTTGGTGTCTCAATGAGCTTTATTGGGTTACTTAAAAGAATATGAGCAAGAAGTTAGGTACAGGAGCAGTAAAGACTTAAAAACAATGGCATCATGAAAATCTGCACCAGTGTGAGACATCATGAATGCAGGAAACCTGGAGCACACTGCCCACCCACAGCTGAACAGGCCAGAGTGTCTTTTCCTGGGAACTCAGTTGGTCTGTGTTTCTTCTACAAAATTAGGCTGGTCTTTGCTCTGTCTGGAGGCTGGACTTTTCTGAGGGCACTCTCAGCAGTCTATTATGATGACATACTCTTTGGGAGCAGGGACCTAGTGAATCTCTTGTTTCAGAAACATTTTGAGGTGTATCTTTTCTATCTTATTCAGCTTTGTTTCAGGATGGAATGTTGAAGTCTCTTGGAAACTGTGACATGAGAGATTATTCCTCAGCCATCTATGTTTTTATTATTGATTTTATTATGAAGTTTTTGAGGTTATAACAAGTAAAATGTTTCAATGAAATGCTTACATGTATTGTCACATACTCAGACTATTTTGTCAGTATAAACTCTGATATTTTCTAAGATTTAAACATTCTTTAAAGGCTTTCAAAAGTTTCTCATGATCATAATGATTCTTTAATATGAAACATATAGAGGTTTGTAAGGATAGAGCTTAGGTAAAGCATATGCTACATTATGTACTATGGAAACTTTTCTCTCTGGTACAAAT